AGTTTCAATGCCGTCCTTTGAAATAAATTCTTCTGGGGGGAGGGGCAGGTGTCTACGTAGTAGTTGGGATTGGGGCCTGCCCCCCAGAACTCTCCACTGGTTCCCTCCTCCACGCCAGCAAGTTGCATTAACACCTTGGTACACGGGGTTGAAGTCTGGTCCCTCTTTCCCTGTGGAGATATAAACAACACCCCCCCCCCTTGGGTGGGTTAGTGCTCTATGCCCCTGCTACTCATTTTTTTAATTATTTTTTTGTCCTTTCCCACCTCCTTTATAGTTGTCTACCATGTATATCCCTGTATTTGGTCTGGTCCCTACCATACTACCTGGTCCTCACCCCAGGAATGTTTGTATACAGTAGCTTTTTCCCTATGCCCCTTTGTAATTTTTTTTTTAAAGCTTAACTCAGTGGTCTCATGTTGTACTTGTCCTTTTGTGCTTGGCTTACTTCACTTAGCATGATTTCTTCCAGTTCTTCCCATGCATGCAGCGATGTGCTTCATACGTTAATCACTGCTTTTTTAGTGATGCGTAATACTCCATTCTATGTATGTACCACAGCTTTTTAATCCACTCGTCAGTTGATGGAAATTTGGGTTGTTTCCAACTCCTTGCAATTGTGAACTGTGCTGCAATGAACAATGGAGCACAGATGTCTGGCCTTGGTTTGTTTCTTGCCGCTTCTGGGTATATGCCAGTAGGGGGATTGCTGGGTCGTATGGTAACTCAATTTCCATCTGTTTTAGATATCGCCAGATCGATTTCTATAGTGGCTGTACATACAGGTCCACCAGCAATGCATGAGAGTTCCTGTCTCCTCACAGCCCCTCCAACACTTGTTGCTTTCTGATTTTTTTGAATTGGGCTATCTTTGAGGTTTTAGGTGGTACCTCATTGTTGTTTTAATTTGCATTTCTCTTATAGCTAAAGATCGGGAACATTTTCTCATATGTTTGTTGGCCATTTGGATTTCTGCCCCTGTGAAACTTCTGTTCAGGTCCTTTGCCCACCTCTTCAGTTGGCAATTAGTTTTTTTCTTTTTGGAAGCTAGCAGAGTATTGTAGATTTTAGTAATAAGGTCTTTGTCGTGTCATTGCCGGAGCCAAGGGGGTGGCAAGCTGTGGCTGTGTTGAGATTAAGCACCCGTGTGCGGGCTCCAAATGGTCCTGGCTCCGGCAGAGACAGTGACGGGGCTAAGGTCAAGCCCTACCCACCTCCACTGTGGTAAGCCAAAAGCCCCCAGCCTCTCAAAACCCTGTGGGTCTGTGCCTACTTATCTTTATGATGCTCCTCCTGTGGTCTAGCTGTGTTGAATTTCCCTCTAAGCAACTCTCCTGGGCTGAATTCTGCGGAGTCCCTTTGGTATGTGTCCCTCCGTCGCCATCTTTAATGTTAATTCATTTGCTTCGCATTCATTTATTCATCTTGTCCAGTGATTTCCAGGCTCTGAACCATGGGACCATAGCTGACTCAGCCTCTTAACTCTGCCACTTTTAGCTTGAAAGCTGCCGGCCGCTGCCATGGAGTCAGTTCCTGCTCACAGCAATCCCCGACACAGTTTCTCAGGCCCGATATAGTTATGGCCTTACTTTTCTCCCAGGGAGCATCTGGTGTTTGTTTTGTTTTTTGAAACACAGACTCCCCAAAGCTACCTTAGGTAATACGTAAATGAATGGGTACGACTGTGTTCAAATATCACTTTATTTACAAACTGAGGCAGCCCACCAGATTTGGTCCTACTTTCCCAGCCTCTGATCCAGTCTGCCCAGCAATACAGAGAAAAGGTACCGTCTGCCTCCAAGGAGCCTCAGCATAGTCTGACGCCATCATTCCTAGCCAGGGCTTCGCCTCGGGATCACTGCAGAAGCTGTGTGTGTTTGTGCTTGGAAAGCTCTCCAGCTGAATCCGGTGCCTGTCTCTAGTTGAGAGCCACTAGTAGCAGGCATGGCTGTGACTTAAGTATCATCAACAGTAACTTGAAGCATTGAACAGCTATTTTTAAATTTACCCATTGCTATTTTTTTTAATGTAACATTAACATTTTATTGCTTTGTCAATAAACCATGATGAAGCTTAGAACTGGATCACCTGGCCCTTTCTCTTCTTATCTCCTTCCAGTTCAAAATGCTTCCATCTCTTAATAGCCTCTGAGATCTGCAGTCGGGATCATCACATTCAAGTCTCAATACACTCTTTTTTGTAGTTTTAGCTTTTTTGGAAGACTGGCTTAGTCTGCCCACCATATAGCCACTCTGCTTCCTGTCCTATTGTCGCTCCCGCTGGGCACACAGAATCTCTGCCCTTCTTGTACTGTGTCACTTGGTGGGGTTGGGGTTTGCCACATGCCTTCCAGAAAGTCCGGCAGGTCTTAGGAACATTAACAATGTTTATGAAGTGCATCCAGCATGAAAAGAAGCCCCATTATTACTCTGAATCATAAATGAGGTAGGACTCATATTCCTATTTGCAGATGAGGACACTGGGGCATAAAGAGGAATAATAACTTGCTTACGTTCATACCTAACTTTCATGTGATGCGGGGCAGGATTCAGATTTCAGAGCCCATAAAACAGAGATTTTTATGTTGCCTCTCAATCCAGACATTTAGAGCAAGTAGAGAGGCTTATAGTAAGCTGAGGATCTTATAGAAGAAGGAGGGAAGTGTGGCCTTGTGTGGGAGTGAGGGAAGGTCTTAAATTCACAAGGGACTTCGGCAAGGGAAAGAGGCAAGCAAGCAAGCAATGGGTGTTCTAAACAAGGAACAGCAGGGACAGACGGCTCAGAGGCACAGAAGAGCCTGGATGGGAACAGCCCAGGAACTGTCACAGCTACAGCTAAGGCTGTGGTCAGGTTGCTTGGTGAGACTGACTTCAGCTTGCACACTGGAGAAATGGAGAGCACGATAATGCTCATTCCATGGGTTGCTGGAAGAACAAAGAGAGAATACAAGTAAAGCTTTTTCAGAAAGAAATTTGGATTTTTGATAAGGTTAACGAGGTGTTTCATATAACTTACCCAGAGGAAGAAATAGAATGGGAGCTGACACCATATAGAACCAAGCTGTCCTTTCTCTCTCTCTCTAGTGCTCTCTACACATCTGTCTGTTGTCTTCTTTCCCGTCCTACTCCAGCTGTGGAAGATAGTCAGCTCCAGCTTCCAGAGTGGATGTGACACTTGTAACCCCCAGGACATTAGCTAGACCACGGCTCCATTCCCAGAGAAGGGGCTCTGATTGGCCCAGCGTGAGTTAGGTGTCTTCCTGTGGACCAGGACCTTGGGCTGGGAGGGTGATGTCATGCTGTACAGTTTGGACTGCCAAGAGCTCACCCGCCCTTCTATATAGTTCGGGGGAGGGGGTGGCAGTCAGTAGTTCTATACGACTTGGGCAGAAAAATCTAGGAATGACAAGGAGAGATCTGTGATCATGAAACTTGCTTTTGACTTTGCCTCTGTCGCAGTCTATCTTCCTGGAGGCCCAGCTGTGACCAGCTTTACCACTTGTGTGCTGTGGTGGGTGTGGATGGGCTTGCTTTGATGATAGGGTAGCGTGAAGGCATTGAAGCTCTAGGTGACCAGCAGGTAGATCTTAGAGAAGCTAGGGATTAAGTCCAGTAATAGTCTTTCTATGGGCTCCTGGGGACCACGCACCCCAAGTCAGTAACACTTCTCCCCTTCCTCTCTGCTCAGGGAGATGGTACTGGAGTTGCCAGTATTTACCGAGGACCGTTTGCAGATGAAAATTTTAAACTCAGACACTCAGCCCCAGGCCTGCTGTCCATGGTAAGTGATGAGGTCAAATTGAATGTTTGGGATTAGATTGATAGCTTTCCTCATTTAGACTCCCTTACTTACCCCGTCCCCACACATGCTCTCTCTCCCTTCGCTTTCTGTTCACCCCACTCCTAATTTTCCTTTTCCCATACCCCGTCTGTTCCCTTTCACTCCTCTCATCCAGTTACTCACTTGTTGACCTCTGTCAGTGCCCCAGACCCCACATGGGGTCTGCTCTGATAGCTCTTCCACTCTGCTTCAGCCTCATCCTAAGTCTTAAGGGTACTAAGGTGGCCTCTGCCCTCGAGAGACTTAGCATCTTAGAGGACGGTCACACATGCAAAAGGACAGTCCCTGTAGACTGTAATCCGTGCTGTCAGTGTGTGAACGTGAAAGAAGCTCAGTGAGTGTGTAAGTTCCGGGGGAGCCTAAAGGTGTGGGAATCTTAGCAACTAAGGGCCGAGGCAGACTTCATAGAGCAGGTCACATTTGAGCTCTTGAAGGAGTCTGATACCAAATGGCAAGGGAAGGGGAGCCATTTCAAATCCAGCCAACAGCCGATGCAGAGCTTTGTGCTCATGAGAAGGCAGGGGCAAATGCAAGGGTCAGAGAGTGGTTGGGGCTGCTGAGCGCACATGAGGGTGGAGATGGCAGGTAGAGACGGCTAGGTCTAGCTCATAAAGAGCTTTAAATGCCAGAATAAGGACAACTGTGGACTTCCTTTCATAGACTGGAGAACCATATTATTTTGGGGGTACCATATCACTGTTGCAGACAAAGACCCTGGCTGCAGTGTGTGTGGCAGATCAGAATGGAGAGGCTGGGGCAGAGAAAGCAACTGGGAGGCAGAGTGGGGCCAGTACAGCCAGCAGAGTCCAAGCCCCCTTTGGAAGCACAGCTGGCAAGCAGAGGGGAAGGTTGCCGAGTGGTGTCCCCATTGCCAGCACATCTGTTCTGACTTGTAGTGACCTGTGCTGCTGTGTGGGTGAGACCTGGCCTCTCCCCTCTTTTAGACCGACGCTGGTTGTTCTGCCAAATACTCTGTATCAGAATGGCTTCCGTGTCCCTCCTTCGGCAATTCATGAGTTCCTTCCTCGGGCAGGGCTCTCCTAACCTCACCACAGGCTCCTGAGTGGGACTCGCAGATAAATGACCGAAGCACAGTCAGAACAATGGCGACTGTTCGTGAACTTTTACTCCTACGTGCTCTGTTTACATTCATTCATTGTAATCCTCTCCATGCCCCTTTGAGTTTGGTACAAATGAGGAAACTGAGGCAAGGAGAGGTTGTGACTAACCTAGGACTGACCACACAGGTGGAGAGAGGGGACGCAACGGGGAGTGGGACCTGGCTGTGGGGCCCCACAGGTCCAGAGTGTGTGTTTTTACCCAGGAAACCATAGTGCTGGGAGGATGAACCAATGGATGCTTAAGAGCAGTGTGTGTGCTTTAGGCATGTAGGATCGTTTTTGTGCCTGATTACTAATAAATGTGTATGCACAGAGCAGCAAAGAAACCAACAGTCGGTCAGTAGATGGAATGGAATTCCCTGAGCATTCCATCCCTCCATTCCCACAAAGCCTACTCTGGCAGCCTCAGGCCATCCCGTACTTTCACTTAGGAAAGTCTCCTGAGCACATTAACAGAAAACAAAAATAACTTATAGGGAGAGCTCAAAAATAGCATCTACAACCCCTAATTAGAATGCATTCTTCGACAGTAGCTTTAACTCACTTCCAGTATTTCGTGTGCGTTGCTGTTTGAACTGAGAAGCCTCCAGTTTAAATCCATTGAGCCTCTGATCAAGGCTAGCTCCTAACTCAGTTTTTTCTCAGTGGCATTACTTGTATGAGGCCTATGCTTCCTAGTAAACGTTTTCCATTGTCTACTCAAAAAAAAAAGAACCATTTTTTTTTAAAGTGGGGAAGCATGCAATACAACTACTATAATTTGTACTCATACTGTTGTAGGCAATGCTGATTAAACTCAGCTTGCATTTGCTGATGTACAAAAGTTTGAATGTAACATATTAAAGGAAGGCTAGGCATATCAGTGTATAACGTCCAAAAGTACCCTCAGAGGAAAGCCCCTGTACAATGCATCGGTCACTCCACATTGTAGCTGCGGTCTGCTCTTTTGAAGGGCACCGAGAAACATCGCGATAGAAAAACAGTTTCAAGGGAGGAAAGAGAAGGAATGAGGCTGCAGAGTTCTGGATGCTTACTCTAAATAATACTTTTTCCTGTAAAGTTCAGTAATTGAGGGTGTGTGTATAGCTATTAAGTATATGTTATTGTCAAGCATAAACATCATTACTTAGGCATAGACTCCTTCCTGGCAGAGTGCTAACATAACAGCTTCCTGTACCCTCTTAAGATTATCATGAACATTTGTTACCATTTTTATGGTCTATATAAAGCTGTTTGGACAAAGTGGCTTTATTATGTGGCTGGCTGGTGGGTAAGATGCAACTGTACTCTCATTATAACTAATATTAGACTAAAATAGCAAATTGTGCCCTATATTTACTCCCATCATAAAAACAGTGGTCGGAGAACTATCCATGCATTTATTATGGCTCTAGCTCTTCGTAGCAAGGGTTGTATATCTTGTTCCTGTCTGTGTCCGTGGACCCTGGCCTGGGGTCTTCCTCAAAGTAGTTGTTCAAAGAAGGTTTGCTGTAAGGAAACTGGACAAATCAGGGCCTATTTTGCTCCCTCAGCCTCAGTGGCATGAAACTTTCGGATATGCTACCCTTCGGCTAGACTAGCTGGGAAAATTCACTGCCAATATATTTGGTTTCCGTCAGGCAAACAGTGGTCCCAGTACAAATGGCTGCCAGTTCTTCATCACTTGTTCTAAGTGCGATTGGCTGGATGGGAAGCACGTGGTGTTTGGTGAGCCCCTCTCCTGTTCCATTGTTCCAGGCCCCGTTCACCCTAGGGAGGCTTCCTGGGAGTCAGTCCCCAAAGTCTCCCCTCAAGAGTGCCTGTTGATTTCACTGCTCTGCGTAGTAATAGGAAAGTGGAAGTAGTGGGAAGGTGGGGAGGCCATGTGGTTAGAGAACAATAGCAAGAACAAAGGGCTCAGCTGATGTCTTGTGTAATGACTGCGGATACATTATGTTGGTGGGGGAAACTCTAAAGACATGCCACACACAGCCAGGAGGGCTCAGGGGGGCTTTGATATCACTCAGACTTGGGCTTGAGCCCGACTCTGCTACTTAACTAGATGTGACTTTGTTTGTGCAAAATACTTCACCCCTCTGGACCTCAGTTTCCTGGATCTGATAAGACAGTCAGATGAGAGATGATAATGACTGAGAATGGGCACTGGGAGATGGAAAATGCTATGCAAATGAGAATGAAGTCCAGTTCATACTCTTCCTACAGGAAAAATCATCGATGGACTTCTGGTGATGAGAAAAATCGAGGTGAGTCCTGTTTGAGTTCTTCTGCCACAGCCTTTCTGGTCTGGTGGTACCTGAGCGGTGTTGAGGTGCTAGAGAAGGGGCAAAGGACGCTAGTCATTAGGCCCACTCATCCTGGCTCCCTGCTGCAGACTCCCTGGAATGCAGATGAGAGATGCCTCCCCAAATTAGTCTCTCATGCCCCCACTCACGTTTGTCCCATGCTGGCCTCCTCACCTGCTTGATAAAATCCTACTGCTCAGCATTATAGTCAAGGTCCGTAACAATCTGGTGTCCCTGCCCACCTCTCCGTGGCACCTTCTACCTGTGTGCCTCCCCCATGTTCCAATCACATTAGGCGACCAGCTCTTCTTTAAATACAATCTGCACTGCTTGCTTGCAGAGTGGGATCCACATCCTTGCCTTTGCTCGTGCTGTTTCCTCTTCCGAGAAGGCTACGCTCCTTTCGGCTCTTTCTCTCGGAGACTTATGCATCTTTCTAGGCCCTCTCCAGATGTCACCTCTCCTGTTAAGCGACAACCTAGCTTCTTCCTCTACCCTTTTGCATGTATGTGACCGTTAGTCAATGAACTAAGGAAGACATCGAAGAACTGATGCCTTGAATGACAGCGTGGTGAAGAATGTTGCGTAGTCCAGGGACGGCCGGAAGAACCAAGAAAGCCGTGTTGGAAGGAGTGCGGCCAAGAATGCTCTTTACAAGTGAGAATGGCAAGACTTCAACTCACATGCTTTATGCATCTTACCAGGAGACACCCTTCCCTGGAGAAGGACATTCATGCTTGGTACCTGCAAAGAAAGAGGAAGACTCAAGAGGTGGATTGGCACAGTGGCTGCACCAGCGAGGGTTGTGCAAGACTGGGCAGTGTTCCATTCTGCTGCACCTAGAGGGTCGCCACGACTAGATGGCACCTAACAACAACTCTGCTCCATCGATGAGACTCCCTTTTGTAGCTTAATTATATCATTACACATCCTAGGCTAGATAGTTTCCAAATTTTCTCCATTTTCTCTTTGATCTGTCCCTTGTACTTTGTCTGTCTGCTGGGAAATGGACTGTCATTTCCATCTCAGTCCTCCATTCTCAGCGCAGGGGCCGGCAGAAATCAGTAAATGTCTGATGAATGAGTGTTCATTGTGCTTTGTTTCCTAGAATGTTCCCACGGGCCCCAACAATAAGCCCAAGCTGCCGGTGGTGATCTCACAGTGTGGGGAGATGTAAACTGAATTAGGTGAGTCTCTTTCTTCCCTTGGTTAGGCACCATACCCCAAAGAATGCCACAGGGTCTAGTGGAAAGAAACTTAGGTTTGAAGATACGGGATTGAGGCCATTTCCCTGCATGGCTTTGAAGAATTCATCCCCCTTGCTGAGCCTCAGTTTCCTCATATGTCTAATCGTGGCATTATCTTCTAAGGTCATTGTAAGGATCAAAAGAGAAACAGACAGGAGAGAACTTTGGTTGTGTACCACGTTGTAGTTTAGACAATACTCCCACATTCAGTAGTCCCACTAAGAAGACCAGGAGACAGATGCACCTGTCATACCTTTTACTAGAAGTAATGCTGAAATTCTAGGCCCTGGTTTGGTATTTGTCAACTGCATAAGTGAATATCACCCATCTCAGTCCACGTAGACTCACTTCCAATCATACTGCTGGGTTCTGGGTGTGAGAAGTAGGCCTGGAGGATTGGGAGGGACCAAGAATTGAACGATTTTACAAACTTTCAGGAGCATATGGTAAATCAGATGACTCTCAGAGATGACCACTATTATATATATAAGAAATAAGAAGAAATTCTTGCTGTTAGTGTAGAAAAAGCTATCAATTGTTTTCATTTACATATAATATAAAGTTTTATTGTCCTAGAATTCATGTCATGCAATAGTTAGTCACATCAAGCAGGGGTGTACAGTTATCACCATGATCAGTTTTAGAACATTTTCTTCATTCTTGTATTCATCATTATTAGCTTCCCATTTCCCCCCAACCTCCCTGGCCATGCTCCTAAGGAACCAATACATTAATCCTGTTACTCTCTCTATAGATTTACCTATCCCGGATTTCATGCAGGACATTTTTTAATTAACTACAATAATAAAGTAAAACAGATAAGAACTTCAAGCACAGCAGAAAATATTAAAGACTTTTTAATATTTTCAAACCTGCAGAAACTTGGCAGACTAGTACACTGACATCCAAATGCAGCTAGATTCACTATTAGTGTTCTGCGTTATCATTCCCTTGGTCCTTGTTCTCCCTTCCCTTTTAGTTGTCCCTCTTCCCCCTTCCCTTCCCTCCCCGTTGTTCCCCAGAGTGACGAGCACTTTTAAGGAAGACACACACACACACACACACAGTACACACACCACGATCCAGTCAAGGCTCACAGATTTTATTTATTTTTCTCTGTATAAATAGTATAATTGCATTGTGAACATTTCGTCCAAACTAGATTACGTGAGAGCCAGCCCCCGTGGCAACATGCCTCTCTTCCCCTCAGAGGTGACGTTGTTTTGTCCGTTTGGTAAATGTCCATGAGGACCTTTCTTTGCCTGTCCAGCCTGGGAACTGTTGGGTTCTGTAAGTGACATCATACTGTAGTTCTCTTCCCCCTCCTCGCCACTGTGGCATCAAGCCTTGGGGATTTTCCTTCTGTTTGTATAGAGCTCTTCCCCCGGCCCAGCACTGTAGTAGGGTGCTGGGGTCCGTATCAACTCAATGGCAGTGTGCTCTTTTGGTCTTTTGTCTTTTGCTATGCATGTTTCTATAATACTTGATGAGCCCTGGTAGCACAGTTGGTTAAGTACTGGGCTGCTACCCATTACATCAACAGTTCAAACCCACCAGCTGCTCTGTAGGAGAAAGATGAGGCAGTGGGTGGGGGTTTGGTATATGAAATTGTACAGGGTGTTTATATCACAGTTTATTTTACCTTTCTCTGATTGATAAGATGGTTCTTTTTTTTAATCACTAATGTTACAGTGAAATAAAGGTTTCTTTGTACAAATATGCCAATATATCTTTAGCTATCCAAAAGTAGACTTATGGGTTAAAGTGCATATACACTTTTAATTTTATTTTTTGCACTTTTTCTTTTAATACATCCAAATTGTACTTCTAAAGAGTGATGGCAGTTCACATTTCCATGTAAGTGCCTTTTTCATCTTGATATTATCATAAAATATGCCAGTATAATTAATACCAATATACAATATATTAGGAAAAAAATTCTTGCTATTAAGAGTAGAAAATGGTATAAATTATTTTCATTTGTACTATTTTCATTTTGTAGTTATGAATACTTTTTTAATATATTGTAACTGCTCTCTCCAGAATATAGTTGAAGAAAAATTGGCAATGTGTTGCCTGTCTTAACTTTGATGATATCCTTTATTAAATAGGAGTTTTAAATTCTGATGAGGTCAAAATTTGTATCTCATTTAAGAAGGTCTTTATTACCTCAACTCATAATGTCTTTTATGTAAAACCTAAAGCCAAACTCACTGCCACGAGTCAGTGCTGGAACCCCTGTAGGTTCCCAAGACTAACTGTTTACAGGGATAGAAAGCCCATCTTTCTCCCAGGGAGCTGCTGGTGGTTTTGAACTGCCGACCATGCAGATTGCAGTCCAACGCCCAGCCACGACACCACCAGGGTTCCTAGTTTGTTTTTAATATAGTCTTATGTCGTTTATACAGTTTTCTAATATTTCTAAGTGTTATTTTTAAAGTTATATAGAATTTGTTTCTGTAGAGTATAAAATAGGACTCTGCCCTTTTCCCAAAGGGAGATCCCATCAAATACCGTGCCATTTTAACGACTGCAGACATCCGTGACTTACTTTGTGTTCAACATCTGCACTGACAGGCATTCAGAACATTTAGTGCATGAATGAGGTGGGAGGGAGAATGCCAGGCATTTTCAGCAGGGAGCTGGTGTGAACACATGCTGAGGCTGGAATGCACACGTGTGTGCTAGGAACTGCATGCACATGAGCCTCTCTCGTCAGCCACAGGTCCCTTCTCAAGCCCAGATGACACCCTGAGCTCTCCTTGTAGCCAGTAGCAGTCAGCTTGTTCTCCCCCCTCAGTGCCTGCCCACCACTCCCCTCTCATTCTGTTCTTTGCCGTAATGTCACGGAGGTTGAGCTCACAAGTATTTTTCCGTCTAAAGATTGACCACTGATCACTACCAGAGGCAGAAGATGACCAAATGGATAACTTTTATTGGAAACTTTTTAGATGTGTGATCTTTTTTTGTATCTTTCTGTAAGGAAAGTTACTGAGACACTTTGGGGGAGTTTTATTGATGAGGAGGGGAATACTCAACCTCCCCTCTTTCTCACCAGAATCAGCAGTTTATATGACCATTATCCCATGGCAGCCCTTCTTTTCAGCCTGCACCCCAGCAGGTATTTCTTGGGTGGCCACTCAGCATTCCAGAGGCTCTCCAAGAACATCCAACTGACAATCCTTCCAGCAATAATGGAAGTGTCCTATATCTGTACTGCACAATATGGTGGAGAGCTTTCTTCAGTTCATTGTTTCTGAAATCCTCTTTTAGAAAAGTCATGTGGAGGCACTTGATACGTCTTCCTCCCTTGGAGATTTTGCTTTAGTGGAACTAGAAAGTTATGTATGTAATAAGCATTTAGATGCTTCTTATCAACGAAATATTTTCAAATGCTGCTGTAGTTAGTACTGGGACAAATATCTTAGGAAAAAATATGTTGCTAGCACAACATATAGGAACGGACAGATGCTATAGCTTAGGAAAAGGCAAAATTCAAGCTCAAAAAGTGGGTAGGTTAAGAAATGAATTGTTCTTATGGATGGTAAATATAGCCTCTATTCTAGAATGAACTGATTCTATCCTTCATTCCACAACCGCGGCGTGTGCAGCATATAAGTTCGAGAGGCTCAGTCTCGGGAAGCTGACAGTTACAGTACAATAAAGCACTGGCTTAGAGGTTTTCAGACAAGATGCAGGAAAGAATGAGTGTCAGTATCTGCCTGAGCGGTTGGGAAAGCGGGCAGGAGAGGTGATGCTTCCGCCGAGTCTGAGAAAGACTGGAGCTTGGCAGGTGGCTAAACCTGGGGAGGGTGTTCCAGGTATGGGGATCCGCAATGACGGATAAAACAACACGTGAGTATGTGTGGCCGAAGCAGGAAGGTTTGAAAAGGCACGAGAGGAGCCTGGAGGGAGGCCTTTGCTCTAAGAAATTCAAAAGTTACTCAAGGGCTGGGCTGGGCTTCAGGCAGTATGTATATTTCCCCTCCTGGTCGGGAGAGTGTGTGGCGCTTCTGTAGGTCTTGAAGGAGATACCCACTGTCCAGGGGCAACAAGAGCCGCTGGGGGGTTGAGCAGGAGAGTGTTGTGATAGAACGATCTTATGGTAACATGTATTCTGGGAGGGCAGGGGTGGGCTGGAGACCAGTGAGGAGGAGTCCCAGCCAGAGGGGAGAGGTTCCACGTGATCAAGTGCAGGTGTCTAGGGAATCCAGAGATTTGGCAGCATATGAACATGTCTGCTGGGTGTGTGGTACTCCCTGCCCCCAAAGTCAGAAGCTCTGCCAGCTGAAAGGGGAAGGGAGGCGAGAATGGCTCCATTCCAGTCCGTGCTAGTTAGTGTCACAGCAAAGTGCACTGCAGGATCACCCATTGGACCCACCCCTCAGTGGATACCACCGAGCCCTAACCCGAAGAAAGGGAGAGCCCTGTGTTTCTAAGGTCAGTTGAGTGACAGTGTCAAGGTGTACGCTATGTTCTAAGCGTTCCAAGTTACTACTTCAGACATTTCTCCAGTGATACATACTTTTACTGATCGCTCTCTCTGCCTTGGTGGCTCTGTGGTTATGTGTTGGGTGGGCTGCTCACCGCCAGCTCAACAATGCAAAACCATCAGCCGCTCAGCAGGAGAGAGACACGCTTTCCACTCCTGTGAAGAGTTAACAGTCTCAGAAACCCAGAGTCCTATAGGGTTGTGATGAGTCAGCATTGACCCGTGACATTGAGTTTTTGTGATTGCTGTTCTTTTTGAACTCTGCAGAGTGAAAATAGCAGACTTTTTGTTTTCTGACATTTCTACTTATCTACCTACATGTGTGTGTGTGTGTGTGTGTGTGTGTGTTCGCATAATACAGATTATACATATGTTGTTTTCATTAATCCTGCTTCCTCCTAACTCCTCCCAGGAACCTGCCCATAGCTGTGACTGGCATCACTTTGGGAAACTTGCCCTGGTCCCTCTTCTTCCTCCTCCAGTCCTAGGGGCTACCACCCACCTGGTTCCTCTCTCCATGACATTCAACACACTGTCTTCCCAAAGACTGAGAACTGCTGGAGTAGAGACTATGCTGACTAGCACGATGCCTGGCCTGTGATCGAGCTTAGGCCCTGGAGCACTGTGTAATTCCTTTGACGCACTTTGTTAGAGAACCCAGGGTGAAACTTCCTGCGGTGTGACATCCTGGAGGAGGAGGGGTGTGGCCACATGGGTGTGTGGCAATGTACTCACCCGTCTCTTAGTGCAGCGAACTCCATGGCCATAAACAAGGGATGTAGCTTTTGCTTTCTCTTTCCCCTGGTGACCAAGGCCTGGCCTTCGAGGAAGAAGATTGCTCTTGTTCTAGAGCTCCACAAGATTGCTCTTTTAGTAAGATGCCACCAAGGTCTGGCAAAAAGGACACAGGCGCTGGAGCCAAGTAGACCAGAAAATCCCTCCACCATCTAGCAAATCTTCACACGCTTTGGGGCTTAGAGGCAGTGGTGAAGAGTGAATGTCAAATAAGGTGCTGTGCATGGCCAGAAATCCATAAACGTTAGTTTCATTCTTCCTGTATTTTTTCCTTCCTTGATTCTTGTGCCGTACACTGCTCCACCTTTCTCTGGGGACAAAGGTCGGGTGGCAAGAATCAGACCCGCTCTCTTTGGGAGAGGACTGGGAGCATAAAGGAAGGCTGGGAGCATTGACCCTCTGCAGCAGCATCCTGGCTCTGAGCTGCTGGCTGCTTCCCTCCCTCACCAGTCTCCACGTCTCCTCATTGCAGGCCTTTCTCCTGGGGGAGGTGCTTGGTAAAACCATCTGGATTGGCCCCTGGACTTGCCTCCCTGCCTGCTGCTGCTGCTGCATTTGAACAAGAGACTTGGGAAGTATCAGAAATCCAGGATACCGATTTTCAGTTTTTCAGTGTTTGACTGTAAATAAACTTTTGGTTTGTTTTTTTAATTTGTTTGCTTGGTTTTGTGTTTGTTTGTTTGGCTTTTAGTCTGTGTGTTGTGAAATGACTACGATGGCAGCCTCCAGGGGCTCGGTTTCGGAGGCCGGCACAGATCCGAGCCGAGCCCTTCCTCTGTAAGGGTGATGCTCTGGAATTGCAAGCAGTTGTTGCAGCCTCCTCTTACAGAGAAGGCTTAATTCTTTTTTGAAAATAAATATTTGCAATGTTTGTTGCACGGATGTTCCCAGTGGGTTCACTGGGTTCTTCGGGAACCAATTGGGGGCAGGGGTGGGGGGCAAGTCACTGACTTGAGATGTTCTCCGGACATGGGTGGCCATTTGGTAGAAAGTGTCCCAATCACAATGCAGTAGGAATAATTTAGTTAAAAATCTGTTTGGTTCTGGAGGAGAAACTCATGTTCCCTATTGAAGTCTCAAAGTTGTTGAGGTTTTTTTTTTGCTGATTTAAAAATGGGGATCATTTTTAAATGATTAAGCTCAAAGCTAGTTATCATCAAGTCAGCCCTGACTCCCAGTGACCAGAGCACTGTAGGGCTTTCAATAGCTAACTGTCTGGCAAATCATATTTCTCCTGATGGGCCTCTAGAGAGGTAATCCTTCAACCTTCTGATGATCCGGTGATCACAGCAACCGGTCACACCGCCCAGGACTCCCAGTTCACCCATGGCCCTGTTGAGAGATCAAAATCTGAGAGTGACTTTTGGTAGGAAGTGCTCCAACATAAAGAGATGCCACTGAGGATGATGTAGATATGCTGGGCATTGCCCCTGTTCTCCCGTCCATACTAGCATCTCTTGCCTCTGCAGCGGTGGCAGGGAGCAGAATTCTATGACAGAATGGAAGCTGGTTTGGTGTCATTTCAGTCCATTTGTCATCGGGCTGTACAGTGACTATTTGCAACCCTAGAGCTCTGGTTAGCAAAAACAGTTACGCTTGAAAAGTGGAAAGATCCATGGCTTATGCCACCCAGAGGCGCCTCAGAAGGCAGACTTAGCAATCTGTGGTGGAAGTTCCACGGCAACGGAAGCCCTTGGCAGCAGCTCTGCTCCGCACACATGAGTCCCTGCGCAGGAGCGTGCTGGGCCGGCGTTTTCAGTTACACCTGTCATCCGCATTCTATACCAGTCTCTGTCCTAGACACTGGAGCTGCAAAGATGAGTGAATGTAGACAGGAGGTGGGCACAGGTTCCATTCAAGGTGGTGAATATTAGAAGGCGAGCTATTATGGTGGCAGAAAACTTGTTTTATTTACAGCAGTGCTTTCGTCACTGTAGCAAACTGGTTGCCATTGGGCCAATTCTTCCTCTCAGCTGCCCCATGGGGTAGGGACTGTCCCACAGGGCTTCAAGTGCTGTAATCTGTCACGGCTTTATCCCACGGAGCAGCTGGTGGGTTTAAGCACTAACCTTTCAGCAGCTGAGTGTTTGATAACTGTGCCACTAGGAGTGCTTTGGTACCTACTGAGTCAATGTATCTGCATGACTGAAAGATCTTGGGTTGTACAAGATGAAATGAGAGCAGAGTGGAGAGACGGTGGAGAGAAGAGATTAAAGATTCCTGGGAGGAGGTAACAGTGGAGGTGAGTATTGAGAGACGGATTGGAATTAGCCAGGAGCCCCAGTCCCAAATACTAAGTGGATGCCTGCCCCTCCCCCCAGAAGAATTTATTTCAAAGGACGGCACTGAATCTGCAGCTCCGGGAGAGAGACATATTTGATCTTGATCGGAGCACACAGGAGCAGATGACGGGGGAGGAGGAGAGACTGGAGCACATCCTAGCCCACCAGGCCTTGAGGAAGATGACCCCAATTAGAGTAGCCAGTCCACAGAGAGGACCACATGGCCAGCCCC